TGTGGTAAATGCTAAATTATGTACTTAAATTTATATTCTTAACGTTTTAATGTCATAGTTTCTTCATTCGCTTACATCGTATATATTTTTTTAAGAATGATTTATAGATGGATTGCGGCTCTTTCATTTTTTTACAAGTTATATTTGATATTAACAAAGTGGGATGAAAAAATGAAATGGAGTTGGAAAAAAAATCTTAAAAATCACGGTAGAAGCAATGTTTTCAATGTCATACTGATGCTCAAATTTGACTGTGAGATCTAGAAATGAGTTAAAAATGTTCCTCGATCTAGATAACCTAATTCTCTACCAAACTTCTCTACTTTTATTGACTCAACAAATATTCAATTAGTCCACTAGATTCTCGATTTTTCTCCTTTTATGGTAAGCTATTACCCTTGATAGTGTTACATAGTGACTCCAATTCGTATATGTATGTTCATTTATCGTCTCAAGATTTCTTGACCATCATTGTAGCACAAGTTGACTTAGCTCTCTAGTGAGTGAACCTGTTCCCATTCGGATCGGTTGAATTCCAATATACAACCTTCACTAATGTTGACTCACATCCACATCAGAAGAGCCGAAAAAACACTCACACCACCATTTATGAATGTGGCGCAATAAAACAAGTTCCATATGCTACCACCAAAAGATTCTACAATCATTATCGTCTCAAGATTTCTTGACCATCATTGTGGCACAAGTTAACTTAGTTCTCTAGTGACTAAACCTGTTCCGATTCGGATCGGTTCAATTCCAATATACAACCTTCACTAATGTTGACTCACATCCACATCAGAAGAGCCGAAGAAAACATTCACACCACCATTTATGAATGTGGCGCAATAAAAAAAATTCCATATGCTACCACCAAAAGATTCTACACGACAACCATATCTTATTTAAATTGTTTGATATGTAATTCACTTGTCACGAGACTGTTTAGCACATGTGTTTGAGAAATCATACATAAATTTATATCTTCTGGTTATTTTTTTTTTCACTGAAAATATTATATTAAACATGATGAAATTCGATTTTGAAATACAAGAGTGGGATACAGTTGTGAAATACGAGGATGAAATACCAAGCCGATGTCAACATGAACGACATCGGAGTCAAACACTACAACCGAAAACCAAACATAAACATATTGAACACAAGCTAAATCCCGAACCACAAAGATCCAATCTCGAACTACGCCTCAAAGGAGCCAAACGCAAATGCTAACCATCCACAAGAAGACCGAATGAAGGAACCCTTGCATCAACAGACACATACACTGCAAGGATAAAGGAGACGAGGGAACTGCAAACTCATATCAGACGACACACCGAAGCCCGAGACCAAATCAAAGCCAAGAAAGTGTGACAATAACCTGGACGAACCATGAAGAGGAGATCATCAATATCAAGAGAAGAACCCAAACCCACCTATGAAACTTCTATTGATACACAACCCATTGCACTAAGGCAGCTGTTGATACGCATCGCCGATAGAAGAAACAATTAGAAAAAAGGTTAGAGAGGAAACTAAACTGATAGTCGAGGTAAGAAAGCCTCAAAACCAACAACTTCACTAAGAAGGAGTCATACTTCAATCAGCCCCAAGACCACTCCTAACAAAAGGCCAGGACACGAAGGCAAACACACTAAAACAACTAAAGAGGAGAACTCGATTGAACTAAACGATCCAGGATGAGCAAATGTCCAAAACTAAAACGACTAGAGCCAAACGACAGTACAGAGGGAGCAAAGAGAGCGTCTAGACCTCTAAGGCAAAGACCACCCAATAAGAAATCTAACAGATCAGAGCACAAGGCCACCGACCGATAAAAGCCCATACCGGAAACGTAGACCAGGACAAATGGAGATGCGAAATCTGGATCCCGACCACACATGACCAGAACCGAGATCCCCCAACCTCCGACGACGAGGTCCGACCATCGAGATTTGCAGCAACGAAGACCTCACAGAGACAACAAGGAGCAACACATCCTCAATCATCGAGCGAAACTGAGCCGAACCCCAAGCTCCGATCTACACCGGACCAGATCTCAAACGCCGAAGTCAAAGCCTCCATGAAGACCCTCAGATCTGCCGATTGGAACTTATAAACTACAACGACGACAACAAAACTAAGCGGTTAAGTAAAACGCCCCAACGTCGGCACTAAAGTAGCCACCGCACGCCGGAGCCAGCCCAGAGGAATCAACGGGGGAACTCCTCAATCGGCGGCGAGAGAGCCAGAGATCGCTCTTGAAAAAGAGAGAAAACAGACCTATATCTTCTGGTTATTCACATGTTATTTGTTTTACTATAATTCATATTGGAAATCGTAATAACAAACAACAACAAAAGACCATTATGTGCATATCATTTTGTATAAGTTTTTTTTCAGATGACTGTAAATTTTGCCCTTTCCTTTTGTTCTTTAATTAACATTGTAGCAAGAGGATTAAAATCATAGCCCTTTCTCCATTGTAAACTTAAAAAGATGAATCTTTTAACTGTACATAATCGTCATAAATCGGTTAACTTTTCGTAAAACCTTTTTTTTGTCAGACATACTAAACCCAAATCCAACGGCCTATTTTATTCCCACTAGGAATTAGTACTTCTTTAGGTCATTCATTAGAAAAAGAAAAAAAAAACTTATTGTGGTCATCACTAAAGAAATAAATTGTTGATTAAATTCGTTAAAATATATAAAACGGATGCGAAATTATTAAATAGGTGTAAAGAAAACTGTTTGGACTAATAATGAAAATCAACGAAACGGATGGATCGGAATCGGACAGGTCACGGTTTGATCTTGAACTGCAACCAGAAGAAACAAGCTAGGTGGTCCGACCTTTTATTCGTCCGCTGAATATATCAGAAACCAGACAAAGCCGG